GTTAATGAGAACAAAGGTAAAGGGAATGAAATTAAATGGATAAAAACAATTTACTTTTCAAGAGAGGGAAACAATGTGATAATTGATGAGAGAAACAGGAGAGGTATTATTAGTAGCATTGGTATCTAATTTTTTTCAGGTGGAAATGAAGTCCAGTATGAGACGGGAGATAAAAACAAAAACATGGTCCATGGTCATGAAAAGAAGAAATAATGTCTTTCTTTAATAAAAATGTAGGAGCGAATAGGGTTGGATTTTTAAAACTGTATTCATATAGGTATGTATTTTAACATTTACAGAGAACTTTGTTCTTTTTTGGAAAGACATAGCAATGTGAGGAGAAGAGATTTTGATGAAAAGACTAGAGGGTGAAATTTTTAAGTCACATAAAAGGAAAGGTAATTTCATTCATTTGTACCTATTCATTTGCATCTTAATATGGAAATGACAGTCCAGTTCTTTGACACACAACTGGAGTAATTAAAGGAGAATGACTACTTAACTTTAGGGAGTTTCCTTCACAGTGATAATGCAAAATGCCATTTCTATTCACCAAAATTCAAAGATGGCTAAATTATCAATAGTTTTATTAATAATTACTGATATTACTCCTGAAGAGGAATTCATATTTTAGAAGATACTGAAATGATTTATCTATAGCTACTTTTAAAGATCAGTTAGGTGGCAGTGCCTTTGTGATGCAAAATGAAGGCACTGGAACAATTCCTACCAGGTCAGAACTAGTAGTTTTTGCATTAAGCTATAAAGATTAATTAGAGAAGGAGGAAGGGGGATAGGTAATTAGATAAAGGGGACAATGTCATTATAATGGTAATGGTAGATATGGACATCTGAGGTAAAGTTAAGATAGTACATACACATGTTGATTCTCAACAATGAGCACTTAAAACTTATGTAATGCACATAATGTAATTTTACTTTAACTGAAAACATTTTAATAGTGAAAAGCATAAATGTGCTAATTATATTTAAACTTAAGGAAAATTTATTGCAATAATCTTGTTAAATATATTAAGATTAAGACCTAGATGATTGAGAACTGTTCATAAAATCAGCAAATTTAAAATATAATGTTCAGTCTTTTTATAAAAGATATATGGCATGGAGCAAATTGCATAATTTACCTATGTTTTCTGAAATACAAATTTAGTGCAGGTAGTCACTTTATATTTGGGGGGCAAAATAGTATATTTACTTCAACAAATGCCATGGAAGCTATGGTCTGCATAGGTTATAGGTATTATATTAATATCTGATTTTCATTGCTAGAATGCATTCAAGTTACAGGAGAGTAGCTGTCAACCTAAATAAAATATCCTTACTATTTTCTTTTAATACCTAGAGAAACCCTCATTTATGGCATTCTTAAATTTTTTCATACCAAAAGCAGGAGCTGGAACACATACTGAACATCTGTGTTTGTGCCACTATTTAGCCAAAAAGTGGAAGCAATCTCATAACCATAGATAGATGAATGTGTTCACAAAATGCAGTCTTTATGGGTCATGGAATATTATTTAGCCTTAAAAGGGGAAGACATTCTGCTATAATATGGTGCACCTTGAAGAAATCATGCCAAGTAAAATAAGTCAGGCACAAAAGAACAAAGAGCATACAATTCCACTCAACTGAGGTACCTAGTGCTTTGAAATTCAGAGACAGAAAGTAGAGTGGTGCTTGTCAGGCAGGGAGAGGAAATCGTTGTTTAGTGGGAGTTTCATTTTAGAACGATGAACAAAGTTCTGGAGATAGTAATTTTCCCAATAATATAAGCTTGTTTGACAGAGGCGAACCACACCCAAACTACATGCTTAGAGATACACTGTACGGAACATATGTCATGTATATCTAACATCATAAAAGTTTTCCTCTGATAATTTTCTGTATATCTTTTACATCCTTATACTTTGAGTTGTAATAATGTCTTCAGGTTTTGGTATATGTATTTAATTACCTCCCAAAATAAGTTGAATGGATGTGGGTTTGGGAAGAGGAGTAAAATTAGTCATTGTTGCTTTGGCTGAATCCTTTGATTTTAACACCTATTTCCTGAGTTTAAAATAAAATGTATTTACTGCATATTATGATAACCAAAATTATCTCTGACTTCACTTCCTCTAGTTAGTGGATTTAGATAGATCAGTTGGATGATAGCCTGATTTATAGAATGATTGCCTGATTGATTTAGCAAGGCAAACATTTTTACAGGACCATCCATATAGCTAATTATAATAGAATTAACATATATACACATAAGTATTTGTACAACTGCTGCAAGCATTATAAATTTTGTGGATCTTTTACAGAAAGACTTATCATAATCTTTATATACACTCAGTTTTACTTTTCACATCCATACCTTAACACACCCACACTTTGAAACTCAGAAATTCCTATTCTGTTACCTACCTTTGAGTATTTCCTGCCCATTGGCACCAAGAGACACATACAAGAAAAGTTCTAGCAATAATATGCACAACTGAAAAGCAGATAGCAAACAAAATGTCAAAGAAGAGACTAGAAAAATAAAGTGAGGAATACTGATAGAATGGAAAATTATGGAGTAGTAAGTGGGAAAACATATAACACTGAGTATAGTTACTCTACACATCATTTTGAATGTATAAAGCTACTTAGTTCTAGTAAGACTACACAGAAGACATTCTTTTTGTAAAGATCAAAACAAGCAAAACCATTATATATACATGAAAAGGTAATCCTAAAGCAACTCATGAAATTGGCAGTCATCATGGACACCTGTGTCAGTTAAGACAGCTACCTGTCTTGAGTGGTATCATACATAGCAGGTCAGACCCATGGGCAAGGAGGCATGGTGTACAAGTAAACATAGTGCAAGACAAGTGTGGTAGCCTTGCTATCAATAACCTCTGGGGATAGGAGAAATAAGGGAGAAGTGTCATTTTTGGTATTGCTGTAGTTGCTAAAGTAGGTAGTTTTACAATTCATTATACTTCATATAATATTTTGCATTTTTGAAGTAACAGACTCCCAAAAGAAATGCTATACTAAAATATAGAGGACAGCTCATTCATTTCTATAAAATATAGTCTATTACAAATTATACTCTGCTCTGAAAAACAAATCAGTTATAATTCTCTAACGGAAATTTATTCTTAATTTTCAGTTAACATGTATCATGTTATATGTAAGAAAGGTAAAAATCCTAAAAAACAAAAATGTGTAGGAGGAATTACAGGAAAAAGAGGGGGGCAATTTAAAAATTGATTAAATAAATTAAATAATTGAAATGATATATTTTTTTTTCAGTTTGGGTCATCTCATAAACTCAGTTTAAAAGACAATTTGCTCAATTTTTCTAACAAAAGAGAAAAACGAGGACAAGGATCGTAGAGTTTTTAAATGAGGCATACTGACGGATTATAATATGGTGTCTCATCAGATGACGCGGTGCTTTGACTACATGGCTAGGGAAAGGCTATAATTTAAATGCCATTAAAGACGCATAAGCTCCAGCATGGAGACAAGAATACTGTAAAATCTTTTGGTCTGTAGTTGCAATGCAGATAAAATTGTTCCTTTGATCTTGCAATGCTAAAGTCTGTTGTCCAGAAGGGAAATGTGTTTCTATCTTAAATTAAGACAGATTTCATTTTCATCTAAATCCTTTTGTTAACACCACATAAAGAGTGAAATGTACTTTATCAGCAGTGCTGGTTTTCTTCATTGTTATTTTAGGTTTTCATGATTATGTAGTGCTTCAAAAAATGTGCCCAAAATATACACATCTGGAAGACTAACTTCAAATGCCTTCAAAGGGACAGTTTACTGGCCTTTATTGCTTAGAAATTAAGAACATTGTAGCTTTCTTCTTTTCTACAGTTTCCTTCTTAAAGAATAAGGAGCTATTTTGTTTGTAAGTCCAAATAGAACATAAACACACAAGTTGGACCTCTGTGAGAAACTAAGTACTTTGTAATCTGTAATAAAATATATGGTACAGTCACTTGTACAATCACAGTGAATTATCTCCTGTTCAAGTCTCTAAATTATTAAAAAAAATGAACATTTTCTGGCTTTAAATTACATGCTTAAATGCATATATTTTAAGGCATATATACAATGTGGGAACATTTTATAGTAGATTCATTATGCCTTTTTTTCTTGAAGCAATATTGAGAACCTCCAAAATCTAGTGTACTTTAGGTTCTAAGCATTTATATTTTTGTTCTATTTTATATTAAAAAAATTAAGGAATAATATTTTTAAAAACTAGGTGCTGAGTTAAGAATATTTTTTGCCAACACCGAACCTATATATCTCTCTACTCTCATTATACTTTTGAACTATTTACTATTTCTTTTCTAGGTAAATTTTTTGTTAAGGCTGAAAGCATAATTTTTAATGGCCAAAAATAACAACTTCTAGCCCGTCAAATTTATGTTAGAAGGTAAGGAAACTGTGATAATGAACTAAACTCAGATTTGGACAACTTAAAAGACAAAATCACCTGTTTCTCTTTCACTTTTTCTGTTTTGAATCTATTTTATCATGTCAAAGAAAATTCTAATGGTCAACTTTCTAGTTGGAATTTTTGGGGAAATTTAAAGTTACTTAAAAAATGAAAACAAAACAAAAATTTAATCAGTACTATTTCTGGCACAAATTGTACTTAAAACAATTAAAATATATTGGGCATAAAAATATTTGCAGCATATTGCTGCAAGAAACCCAGCAAGCAAACAAACTAAAATTTCATTAAAGCTGTCCCAAATATTTGAGAGAACAGTGTGTATTTAGTAGAAACAGTGGTGTTTTGCTTCTTGTTTCAATAGGGAACTAGAGGTTTCTGCTGAAAAGTGTTTGCCAGGTATTTCTGTCACCCACCTGTTAAAGAGGATGAGTAAAGGTCAGGGTGTTGCCATCTTGAACGCAGAGACTTAGGCCTTCTCCTTAGGGCCTCTGTTAGAGCTCAGAACACAGGTCAGAAGCTCAAAGTTCCACCCACTTGCATATTATATGATGTCCTTGTTCTTCCTTTTTATAGTTGAGTTTACTGGAAATGAAAAGTGCATCGCTGGCATTTTAATCAAAACAACCTCTGTAAAACATAAATGATGTGTAAAACCACTACCATACAAAAATAATTCTGCTTTATTGATTCTGAAAACAAGTCATCAGTCTATGAAACTCAAGAACAACCCAAGATTGATACAGAATTTCCTATTACTCAATGCCTGCTGAAAAGTGATTGATAGTTTAGAGAATAAGAAAGGGGAGAGACATTAGTAGAAAGCAATCATCAACATGAGAGAATATACTGTATGTTTTGTATCAGATTTTGAAATGTTTAAAAAAATTATGCCAATATCTTCCTGGAATCCACAATTGCTAATGGCAACAAGTATCAGTTCCAGGCAGATTGCTTAGCATGATTTTCTGGAGCAGTGAAGGTAAACAAACCAATCGCTATATAAACAAATATTACTTTTATGATTATTTAAATCCTTCTTGACATGGGGTAGTGAAACATTGGGATAAGGCATAATATCTTTTAGTTATCACAGGAATAGTTACACATAATGGAAAAACTCTTAATCGTACAAAGAATGAGTGTCATAGAAAATATCAACATAGTACAGAAGCATTTATAACCAGAGGGGTGTCTATATAAAAAACACATTTTTTTTAAAGCAAATCAACTATTAAATTATGAGAGGAAAGAGGGAAGTAAGAAGTCAAGGAAGGGGAGAGGGAATGCAAGGGAGGGGAAGAATGGAGGAAAAGGAGCAGGGATAGGAAAGAGGAGAGAGAAAGAGATGAGATTTAGTTACTGAAACCAAAATTCTAGAAGAAATAATTATGTTATGAGAAATAATAAGTTATGTTGGAGAGTTAAAGTAAATAAAATACACAGAAGTAGAAATGTTCTGTTTTGGAGTGAACATAAGAAAGAGAGCAAAACAAAATTTGTGCATTAAATAATAGTCATATGTTGCTGTATTTTTACAGAGTTATGCTCTGAGTCAGAACCACTGTCAACCTGTTCTGCAGGAAACCCTTTTAGTTTCAAGATCACTAGTAATAATTTTGATTAATAAAGTAATTGTAGGGTATTACTAAAATCTATTTCATTCTTAATTGATGAATAAAAGACACTAATGCTCTCAACGTGAAGATAATAGTAATTTATAGCTATTTCAAAGACGGAATTACAGTAAATCAATCCCATAGTTATTCCTTTTCTTTTTGAAAAACAAAAACATTCTGAACAAACAATGTATACAGATTTTATCAGCCTAAAAACACAAAATAGATTTAGACATCAAATGAAGCCAATATATAGTTGGATTTATTCAACACAATACTGTATACTTTTATGGAGATCTCTTGATTTAAGCAAATTAATAAGTATCCCCAAAGCTCTTTGACTTGAGAATGTGAGTAAATAGAGAACTCAATTATTCTCACAATACTATGTGAATCAATTTCTAACTTAATTATTTCCCAAAAATTCAGGTAAGTGCAAACTTTTTGGGTAAGTCTTTTTCCATGTTGAGGAAACAATAACAAAAGTCAAATAAAATGGGCAAAACTTTGACTATACACAGAATCTGGCTTAATTTTCTAAGTATTACATATTTAACTTCATTAAATATGGAGTGTGACTACAACATAAGAGAAAGACAACATCCAGTGAATGTAAATGATTCAGATTGAGACAAGTTATACATGTGGACATGGTTCCAAGTGTATTTGGTATAAAAGACCATGTTATCTAATATCCAAGATTCTTGAGCTGCCAGAAAATATCAAAACAATTAGGGCTTTTTGGAATGTGTAGTTAACTTCCTGCTGTAGGACAGGAATCACAGCTGCTACAGTAGCAGTGGGTTTCCAGATGTCAAGGCTGTACGGATAGTGAGGTAATTGCAGGAAGGAAGGGATACAATTTTGTTATCACAGATTACCCACCCCTTGGAAAACCATGGAGACGGCATTAATGTCAGTGCTTTGTATATACACATTATGAACAGGAGGTCTTCATGCTCAAGTGTGGAGGTCTGTACATTTGCTTCTCTTGAAAAGGAAGAGCCATACATTCTAAAGTATGTGGAAAACAGAGTAAATGGTCTCAAAGCTGTATTACTGCATTTAAAAAGCATCTCTAAGTGTTAATAGGCATTTATCAGCTAAAGTTTTCTCTTAGACTAAAAGGCAAAATAGTAAGGTTTACCACAAAGTGTTCCAATAGTAAGTTTTGTTCATTACAGTAAGAGAGATGCATATGTTTTGACACAGATTAATCAACAACCCTATTTAAGGCTGACTTTGGATATTTGTGGCCAAGTAGAGGAAACTGGATGATGATTTTCCAATATTCAACCAAGAATAATTTCTTTCTCAATTCCCCCGCCGTGCTGACAAAAGACTACTAGTAATTTAAAACTATAAAATTTTATTTGAAACATAGAACTAAGTTGCCATATTTGCATATGGGAATTTTACAGATGAAACTATTTTGGCGTATTTTACTGGTGAAATATCAGAATGTACTTGTTCACAGGTTATTGAGATTGAAGAAGTTCAATTTAATATTTTCGTTACTACTTAAGCTTCTCAATTATTCTTTAGATTGTAGAACATTTGTTTAATATTCTTTGTAAATGAACAGAGACATTAGTGACTTATTTCACCTACAAAGTAGAGTTGAGGAAAGAGTCTAAGAAATGTACAAATTTGGATTCCTTTGACCAGCCAAGAAGATAAAGGATATCTCATCTCCCTAGTACCAGAAATATTATTCTGTTAAATCTCTAAGGTTTTCATAAGTTTTATAGGCAGTTGAATATTATATTGATTCATATTGACTTAAAAGCAGTCAACTAAATAGCCACATATCATACCTCCAATTCTGAAGCTGTGTCTTCAAATCCTGTTGAAATTTAATTAATTTATTTATTTTGGATTTAGGATTAGAATTTTGTGGCTGTCTTGTTATACCTGCACTTATATTTCTGATCCAGGAACACTTGATTTGCACAATTCCAGAGAATACCATTTACATCACCATCTCCATTAACAGCACCTCCTAGTGTTGAGGTATGACCACAGGTCACATCTCCATGGCCAAAGGTATGATCCTGCATACCTTTGAAAACGACTTTTTAAATTTAGTATATCAAATGTAGTATAATGACATCTTCAATTCAATAGAACATTGCCAAAGTTTAAATAAAAGTACTGAATTAGTGGGGGCCTGAAGTACATTTAGACTATAACATTAATTAGGAAAAGGGCCATTGTCATTTTTGAGTCATGAAGAGGAAAAAAAGTTTCTTTTTTTGCCAATTAGAAAAAAAAAAAAAAAGATGAATAAGGGGAAAATTTGAGCCAAATATGGATAAGTAACTTTTTACTAATGTAGAAAAATAAACTTTTCTTTGTAACATTGCAAAATGCTCCCTGTTTGGGTGTAGTTCATGAGTTTTGTTTTTCAAGGTTTCCTGTCTTTCCACGGTATGTGAACATACTTATTAAAAACATCTACTCTCATAAGTCATTCTTTCCAGTGACAGTGCTGATTTTGCCTGTTACAAAAGAATAATCTCAAATTCATACAAATCCTTTATGGATTTATATTTATATAGTGTTTGGCATTTTCAATCAAGAGAAAATTCAAGGCAGATGGAACAGTTGCACCTGAAGTTAAACCTGTCTCTAGGGCAGAGGACTCTCTGGCCCTTTATCATCTGAGATCTTGTTAGTAAGCCCTCAGGCTTCTCCTACTGATCAGAAACTCTAATCTCATATGTGAAAATTGTAATTCAATAAATATTGTTTTGTTTAAATTTTAATGCCTCAGCATCATCTAGTAAAGGGTCTGTGGGAGCTTTGGAAAAATCCATAAAGGCATAGTAAGGAAAGAAAAATCAATTCAGTTGTCCAGATTTCTGTGACTATCACATACGTTCATTAGACCTTTCTAAATGTACACAGAAACTAAGTGACTCTTCATAATTTAATACATTTTAATCAATCGTAGTTTTTTTTTAGTTTTTGCTAGAGCCAAATCAAGCTAAATTCATTGTTTTAACAACTTTCAGATTTTTAGAATAATGTTTCAATTCCAAATAATATTTCTTTCTACAGTTTAAAAGTTAAGATTTTTTGGTTCCTGGATATTTCTCTTTTGATAACTTGTTTCCTAGATGTTCATGTACTTATTTTTTTTTTCTTCCTAGCAATACAGTTCCACAAAAATCCTCAAAGTCGTATCAAGTTAATAATTTTCTACCATAACACTACTGTTAGCTTAAAAAAGATATGTAATAATCAGTATTTATAAGAAGATGCATGGTTATCAACTTATTGTAATGATGATTTCCTAAGATTTCTACAGATCTTTTCTTTCTCAATATTTTCTATACCATCCCAGGAAAGCTGCATTTTAATACTTGGAGAAAGCCAGCATTATGGAAAGAAGTATAATGCTTTTCTGCTATAGTCAACTTCATGAAGATTTGTCTAGTAAGGTCTTGTTCTCTCATGAAAAAACTCATCTCTGAAATCATATCACTATATTTAACTATAATACACAAGAACACTTTCTGATGTTCAACCAAAGGTAAACATAATTGGCCTTCATTAAATTGGTTCACAGTGTAAATTTTCCAATTGGCACAAAGTATGTAGTTCACGTTCAACATCCCTTAAAATGTGCATATTTCCATCCACTAATTAATATTGTAAATGATGAATGTAACTTTGATATTCCTATGGCTTTGTATCCTGAAGAAACATTTTGCATTGTAAAGCTGTTCTCCACTTAACACATGAGCTCTCCATGCAAAATGTCTATAATAGTTATTAGAAGAACCAACCTAATTCCTTTTATATTGAGATAAGAGAAAAAATGTAAAACGTCTAGACAAGTGTACTCAACCAGGTCAATGTTTGGTAATATCAATGTCGTGAGAAAGGAATGCTACAAGCATTCGTGACTAGAGGTCATGAATACTGATTTAAAACCCTACAATGCACAGGAAATGTCCCATGCTGAGGAATTATCGGTTCTAAAATATTAATAGTCCCATTGTTGTGAAACTGACATAGAGAAAAACAGTCCTACCTAGTCAATATAAGTTGGTCATGTACTATGCTACTCATTTGGGAAATCAGAGTCTTCCATCATAGCTGGATAACTGAAATATGAATTACCTTCCCGTTCTTATACTCAGAATCCCTATTTTTACATTAGTCCTTAAGCCCTGAAGAGAGCTTTCATTCTCAATGCAGATACTATGACTAATTATTACTGTCCAGCACTGAATCTCCTTTTACAAGTTCACATTTTTGCTCTGGCATTTTGAATGATGTGGTACATTGCCTTTCATAAATGTTCAGCTTTGTTAATCAATTCCTTTTTCAGAAAATGTTATTTACTTGAAATAAGGCTTCATCTTGAATAAACAAAAAGCCACTTTACTATCGACACAATTATTTATCCTAACAAGATTTGTATTTACATTTCATTCTATTTTTTAAATGATTAAATAACACCAAATATTTTATCAGGTTGATTAAATATTAAACCACAGACGAGTTTCTAAACAAAAATATTTTTGATCAAAACATATCTTTCCATGTGCTTTTGACAACTCCTAAAATAGCTCTGAAAATGTTTTCTCAAATATATGTGATGATGTTTTCCCCTTTGTTAGTAAGCCAAATGAGGTTTCTAAGCTTCTCTGGTTAAAGATGTCAAGGAAGTTAGTTTAATTGTGCAACATAGAAGTTACCAATGGACAAACATTGCTGTGCATATATAATTTATCTGAAAATAAAAGTAGTGGGTTGGGATTATAGCATTTGTACACTCTTGGGTACTTAAATTTCCATTCAGTTACACACCTCTGCTCTTTCCGTAGAATGAAGGCAGGTGATGCACAGTTGAGGCACAGCTATATCTACTGGTTCTATAAGATTCTTGGTGAGGCAGTGTGATATGAGACCTAATTACCTCTGCAGTTTGATTCTAAATCTCTATTTAACACACGATTACGAACTAGATATTAGCCTTCAATCTCTTCTTATAGCATCAAGGTAAGAAATATCATACCAAGTGTTACAGATTAGTCTATAAAAGTGTCAGGAAAAATAATACCTTCATACCCATTTATGCTTACCCCCCTGCTTTCTACCTTTCTGGCTAAAGGAATGCAATTTTTTTTTTTTTTATAAAACTGCATTCATTGCATTATATTGCTCTGCATTTCTATATTACCATTTAAATTATGACAGTTGGGCCTCTCTGGTGATTCAAGAGATTCAGTCTCAGCACCATGTGAAGCTATGGGCAGCCACTGTAGCATGAGTTCCATCCTGGCCAGGGAGCTAAACCACATGGCTCAGCAGACCTTATTCCCCTCAACAATTTTTTTCAGAAGATTTGCCTGTTCTATTCTCCATTCTGTCTCTGGTGAAGTGGTTTTAGCTTCTTAGTGCTGTGCTTTAATCCGCTGTGCCACCAGGGAGGGCCAAAATGTTCATTTTAACTTAAGTTGTGGCCTTATTTTAAATATTTACAACAAAATATACCTAAAACCAAAACCTGAACAAATTGATTCAAACAAATATGACTTCTTAACTAGATCCAATAATTGCATCTTTGAACTTAATGTAGTGTGGCCCAAGTTTTAGAGTTCAGACATTCTACTAGTTTTATTTAATTTCTAGTAATATCACCACCCACATTTCTATGTGTTGTTTTAAACATTCATCTGAATAAATATTTTTCTTTTTTGGAATTGTTTGATATCCTAGAAAACCAGTTTTGGGTAATTAATTAAAATATTAAAAGATTTCTTATAACCATGTTTATTAGTATATAAGTATATTGAATTTTTAAATATTAAATTATATCTTAAAGAGAAACCATTTTTGTAACAGAATACTATTAATAATAGGATCTAACTCTATCTTCAAGTGGGTTTTCTTTCTCATGTTCAATTCTGCCAATTCTTTTTGGAATAACCAAAAATGAGAAGAGAGTAATTCTTCCTATTCACTTTTTAAAAGTACAATGTTAGTGATGGGAAAATAAATAAATTTCTAGCACATCTTATGAAACAACTTCTTCTGAGCAACCCTTTATGTTCTGTTTAAAGTTATAGAATTGTGAGTAGTGAATAAACAGAATGTAAGAAGTATTAAAATAGGTTGCAAGGAGTTGTACTTGTATACCAAATAATATTCATTTATATATATATATAATTTTGGCTCCTTTATACACTTTATACACATACATAGCTCAAAAGTTATATGATGATTAAAGTAGTAAGTTTCACCATGTAAATGATAATCATTTGAATAGAATAGTCTCACATTGAATGTACATTTTACTGTGTATATCTTTTGATGGTTTCATCTCTTCTCATTCATTTCAAACTAAAATAAAATCAGAAGGTATTTTCTGGGCTTTTTCATTTGAGTTTGAGGATTGTATAAAATGTCCATTCTTTCTACCAGCTCTAAGATTTTGTTAATTTCAATGAAAATATAACACTAGATTGTGACTTGAAACTCCAAAGTCATAGTGAATATCCTGTAAGATAGGCATCTATGTATATAATTTTGTAGACCATGCCATTATTACTATTATAATTCTTCCTTCAAATTATCCCATATACAAATACGGTTACTTGATACCTGTGTTTGCCTATTTCTTAACGCTATTCTACATGAGGGGCTTTCTAAAAAACTCATAGTCGCCACATCTTCAAAAATGTACAGTCTCTTGTCAAGGAGGGAAACTCTTTGAGATTCAGTGTCTCCTTTATAGCAAGCTGTCTTTTCTTATAGCAGCACCCAGCATGAAGCAGTGATGAGAGGGCAAACAACCAGTGCTCAAGGAAAACAGTAAGAAGATAAGAAAATAAGAGAAAAATAAAGTAATAAAAGAATCATGAAAGATAGGGATGGAATCGAATGGAAAGTGGGGACCCAGGTCTGGGAAAAGCAGAGATTCTGGAAAGGGATCAGGCCCGGAATCCCCACGAGATGATGCTGTGCATCTTCACCCTTGAAGTGTGATTTTCTATTATATTCTGAAGTGCCTTCTTCCCAGACTCTCTGCGAAGTAGTCATATCTTTAAACCGCCTGACTCAAACAACTGATTTGGCTGCCACCACAGAAATAGAAATTATAGCTTTCAACCCTGCATTTTATTCCTCTTACCTATAATCCTCTAGTTTTCTAGTTCCAGTCTGTCTGACCACTTGACAAAGTTGTTGATTTTTTTTTTTTTTGGCTTTTTTAAAATTAGTGCAGGCTTGGAGGACTACTTAAATGTGCTTTACACACAGAACAGCAGACACCCTTGGAAACTCTTGATGGGAACAAAAATCCAGCTGGGAACATAAAAAGCACAGAGGGCAACACAGTAATGATTCTCACAGTCGAGACTGTCATCTGTCTTATCAAAGGCCCTCATTTACCTGGACGTCTTTCTTGAAAAACTGTTACGATTCTTTACAGATTTTACGTAGGATAATTTTTCAAAGGCTTACTGATCTATTTTCACATGGATGTTGTTTGGCTTGGTCCTTCAAAGGGCTTCAAGGTTTACTTTTATATTTAAAAAGAGTAAAGATGAAAGCTATTATTTGAATACAGCTTTGCATTCAGTGGCACCAAGATGCTTATTATAACTGCCCTGATGAGACAGACGAAGAGTCTCAGGGCTCCTTGGCTCCTTTAATGTGTATTTGGGTGTCCTACTGGATGGCTTACCTAAGTGATGTGGCATATATTTGATGAAAGGACAGTAAACAATAGCAATTATAAAAGATATCTGTTAATGAGAAGAAGAAAGGGAACAGAGAAAATGGGGGGGGGGAGAAGAAATGATCTTCAATGGAGAGAACAAAGCATTTCAAGTGTACTAAAAGAAATGACCTACCTTAATCATGTCCTAATTTTAGGATACAGCAATATCCACTTTTGGTGATATATTTCTTCCTGCTTTGTGGGACTGCCATTAAGGATATAGATCCGACTGCTTTCAGTGCCTTTTATGGATTTGTTGGAAATTTTATTAAGATCCCTGTATGAAACAATAATAAAAATGATAATGTTGATTCAGGTCATGCTAAGCAAGTTAGCTAAAATTGATGTTTATGTTCTTAAGGGAACATCAATTTTTGATATTCCAAATTTTGTTTTTTCTTACATACTAGTTTAGCCCCCAGAGAACATAGTTTGGGGTATTTTTGATTTCCAATAAAATAAATTTGTGTCAAATAACACCCAGAGATTCCTAAAAGGACAAACCAAATAGTTTTGGCTATTTCCATTATGCTAATTAGTTATGGACTTTAGTTTTGCTTTGGTTGTTTTCCCCATGCATAAAAAGACTTTAAAATATTAGCACATTTGCTAAAGAAAATCTAGACTTCATTGCCAATTTGTCTCAAGACCAATTTATCTATCTAAACAACACCGTGTTCTCTTTGTATCAGCCGTTTGTTTTGTGATAATTGAATTTTTTAAAAAGAAAATATTGAATGTGATTAAACATGTTTTTCTGCCTTTTAATTAGAATAAAGGAAGACAAGCAAATATGCTTCCTTCCTTTTCAGGACTGATATATAGATTCCTGATACTCTGTAAAAAAAAAAAATACACTGTAAGAGATGCTGTTTGAAATGTCTAGATTTGTTTACATTAGGCTGGACACAATGGATCCTCTCTTTAGAAATGTGTTTGTCTTACTTTCATTTTGAGAGACTATCAATATTTTCTTGAATACCTTTCATATAACAAGTTCCTTCCTCCCAATTTCTTCTCTGTTCATTGCCACCTGGGTGTGAGACTAGTGGCTCCTTAGACAACACAGCTAAAGAGGCATGAATGACCCCATTGGCTGAAACAGCAAGGAAGTGTATTGAAAATTTCACACATCTTTCACTACTATTCCCAAGTCTCCAGGGCTAGGGCTTTGGGCTTGGCAGTGAGGAGAGGGGGTTAAAATAACTTAGTCGTTTTCTGGCTAGAGTTTCTTAGGCATTGCTCTGGTTCACTCTGGTTCCCGCAATAATTCTATGCACACCCACTTTGCAGGAAAATGACTCACAAGGGGTAAAGAGTTAATATAAACAAATATATCAACTATACTTGAAGAAATTTGAAATATTAAATTATCAGATTTAATGCTAAAGGATATTGAAACATTGTACAAAGTGAACAAATACAGCAATCAGCCAACCTGTGGTGTAATGATGCATAGCTTTCTATTGATTCACTCAACTGAATGCACCAGGGACGCCCTCTATCTACTAATGATGTTGAATTGTCCTTCTATTTCACTTTATATTTTACAACACAACAACAGTTTAATGCCCCCCTATCCCTAGGCACACATTACTAGCATTTTGGAAGCAGGGCTCTGCAGATCAAGCTTCAAACAATTCCTTACAACAGGCAAAATTCTTGTTATTGTAGATACAGATAGTGAGATTCAGAGACTCACAAAAATTACAGAGTTGCTGAATACCAATAAAAAGTTATGTTCCAAATCTTCAAACCAGTGTCCCACTTTGCTCTTTTGCATAGTTAATAGATGAATGTTTAGAGTGCTTAGATTGCTTTTAGTACTTCAAATATTATTAATCAATGCTATAAATAACTCATTTAAAATGAGCTATAGTATTTTGATGAGATTATAAAAGCTAGACAGGATGTGCCCTGATAGGAATATTGTGGGAATGAAAAGTTGTGTGCCTCACTTTAATGGTCATATGATTTACCTAATATTATATCTCCTCTAACATTACATATAGATGACTATATATACAGTTATCACCTCCTATCAGATTATAAAATATTAGTTTTCTTTCTTTTTGATATTCCTTTGATTAAAGAAATTAAAATTTTCAGGACCTTGAGAAAGAGTGGTAGAGTATAAAATTTATTCTCACCTGAAAAAAAGTGTGTTATAAATTTTTTAAATGAAAATATTCACAGTACAATTTCTTGGTCTATAATCACTGACAGCTACTATTAATTACATTGTAAACTGTTAATGGTCTAATGCTTCCAACATATATTAAGTCCATTATGAGCATTCTGCAAGTATTGAGCTTATTAAGAATTGAACACTATTGAAAGGATTGGGATGAGGATACAAGCAGACTTAGAATTCTAAGACAGAAGTATCTATGAAAGGTTTCAATTGAGCTACCAACTCTTAGGCTGAGCACATTTGAAAAAGACAAAATTCTTTCAAAAGTCAAATAAAAACTTCTTAAGAGAATTCTTCTGTTTAAGAGTGGTCTCACAGTCACTTTTCTATACCTGAATCTTTTTTTTTTTTGGCATGGTGTATGAAATTAAAGAAATAAAAACACAACAGTAAAGGAAAATTGTAAGGTAGGTGGAAGAAACATCCTCTCCTGCATTAATATATATATATATATATATATATATATGTGTGTGTGTGTAAAAATGAAAACTTCAAACTTTTTCTCTCTTTTCCTGCTCTCATGTTTACATCCCTTGAAGATATGTTACTAGTTAATTCATGAATTCATTTTGCTATATCTTCTTTCTGAACTCTTCTCAGCTCTAAAAACTATACTGGCATATATGGATTCAGGAAAGAAGGGAAACATGTCTCCCTTGGTAAATGATGATTGTTCTTTGTGTCCCAGACTCAGCTTTTGCACCTACACACAGCCTGGTGCCGTGTGGGGCCAGCCAGACAGGCCTCGATGTTAAATGCCAGAAGGGACCGTGAAAGCCAAAGGCCCTGGGCTCACAAGCTAAAACTTGCATGCTTGGCAAGGCTCAGATGCCAAGGCTTGAATCTCTAATAAACCACTCACTGCTTCTCCAGTAATGATACCCTGGGGCTGCTGGGAGGGGATTCTTTTTATAGGAAACATTCTCATAAGGATTTAATATTATCTTTCTGAATCCTTTGATTCAATAGGGTTTAAAAAAATTTCCCCTTTATTTTGTAGACCCTGTGATGTGAGCCAATGTTAATTCTTTATGCAACGGTAGTATGTAATCAACATCTCTACTGAGCACAGGATTCTTTTTACTTTTTCACCATGTGCTTAAAAAAATAAAATATCTTGCCACTGAATGTCTTTTTACAGACTGAAAAGACTTTTAGGTTAAACAACATTTGTTGGGCTTTGATGCAATCAAATGCAATTTCAATCTTCTTGAAATATTCAGCCCTGCCTCTCTAAAATTGCACATATGTGTCAGCTTTCAATTTTTCTCACTAGTGTTTTACACATGAAATCTATTTTCACTGAGAAAATGGAATCTTTGTGTCTTTGTCTCTCCCAACGCTGCTTTCAGGCGTGTTCTGGCAGGGGCTTTGACTATCCAGGCACTGGGGGAGGGTCCTAGCTGTCATTTGTCAGCTTTTCTTGCATCTGTAATTTCTGGCCACTCAGCAGTATTAGAGGGTCTTAGAAAGGGGTGGTGGGGTGGGGAGCTTGTCATTGATGAAAGCCAAACTCCGCCGAATAACTGCCCAATGTTAATGACCAAAGAGAGAGGAGAGTCTGAAAAAGTTTTATTGTGCTTTAATGAAAAAGATTTTTTTGGAAATGGTAATTTGCAAAATTGCACATGGTAACATTTTTAGATCTCAGTTTAGAAAGCCCCTATCCATATTGTGTTACTGATTTCATTGCTTTTAGCTTGGCAGTGGCTCATGAAACTATTTTAATTTTCCACCCTTGGCTTCTGGTTATTTCTGCACTTATTTCCTCATAACTTAACTGACAGCCCAATTAAACATCTGCATTTTTAAAATCTGGATTCCCCCCCATAACTATTTTGCTTTTCTTCTAAAATTTCCAGATGTTTTAGTTTCTTTATGATTTTAATGCATGCAAGTATATTTGCTCCTATTTCAAAGAGAGCTAGATGGACTGACCAGATGTTTCTATATGAAAAGCTTTATGTACGATAATCAGACAATAATCAGGTCAGCATTTTTGTCTCCTTAAGAACACATTTACACTAGGGTGTATCTTAGCTTATGTTAGCTTTTTTTATTTGAGTTGATCTTTGAAAGAGCTTTTTATGAGTGATTAGAGTTCAGAATTCATACTGGGATCTGTGAATTAATAGCAGTAGCCAATGAAGAACAAACACATCACAGTTTTCTCAGCATACAGGCATAAAGATAGAGGTTGCTGTGATTTGTGTTTTTGTTATGTCTGTCTTTTTTTCTTTGTGTGAGAGATAAGTAGTAAGCTATGCAAGGCAACAATGATTTTTTTTGTTTTAACTTAGTTTCCGCCTTTGTACAAACATTAAAGGAATCACCAATATCATGTCTTGAAGTGTCTGGATCAGAGTTAAAAGGGTCTCTAGTGTATTTGCAAGAAAACCTGTTTCCCATAATTCATAACAGGAAGTCCAGTAAACAGACACTGACAAATGAAACTGAAACAGTAACATATACACAGAAACATGGGAGACAAAAAAGCTTATTTGGTGCTACCAGAGGTTGGCTCAGTTCTGGAACACTGATGTAAAGCTCACAGCAAACTCAAGGAAATGAGCTGTAACTTTATATTTCAAGGTGATTTTTGACTATTTAAACAAATGTTTGTAATGTGCAATCATTTCTTACACTGCTTAGTATCTGCAAGTGATCTCAGCCTATTCATATATTTACTGTTTAGGTACTAAAGTCATTATTTCCTGAAATACAGATTTTTCCAGACAACCAAGTAAACAGGAAGTTTGGTGAGCTTTTCTTTTTTTAAGCATTATGATGTGATTTTTCAAAACTTCTTGTTGCACACTGCTAGAAATGAAAACCCCTAATATGTTAATTTTGGTGAGTATAAGGTTTGGTATGAGGGGGTGGAAAGCAGGAATGGGGGAGGGGAGTGTATTCATGAGGTCTCAGGCAAACTAAATACAACAGTCATTAATTAGACAGACACAAAGGATCACTGGGCAACTTGACCCACTTGTGCTTAAGGTTCCAGACAAAGCTTCCCCGGGAAGTAACGTGTCTTTATCTTCCAATTGTATCAGAGTGCAGACTGTCTGGTCTCAGTACAG